CTATAATAATGATACTAGCTTAAAGCTTATCTAACCCCCCCAAAATGTTATATATTGCTGATTACAAGTGCTTAGATGTGTTGACTACATTAGGTTTACTATTATATTAGTTCTTTGTTTTCACTTGGTAATTCTGCAATAACTTCTTGATACCGGAGGTTTTGGGCTAGGCTTTGGAGCATTTGGGCTAGTATGAGTACTCACCCAAATACTCAGCATTGGCACAGATACTGATGCTAGTATCGGTTGTTGTGCATTCCTACTCTTTAGTGTATATTGGATTTTTTTGCGTAGTCCACTGGGGTGAACAAGAAAAATCTTAAGGTGTGTTGCCAACTTAGAATTTTCTATTTCTTTCATGTAAACTAAGCAACACCCCCATGTACCATTTTCTTAGGATAAAAGAAATCTAAAGATAATCTCAACAACTAGTAGCCAGTTATTGACTTGGCAAACAATGATATTATAATACTGCATACCGGATAAAAATGAGAAATTAATGTAAATATCATGTTCCTTTTTTGACTGCAAGCTGCAGCAATACATGAGCAATGGATTTACAGCAGCTCCAGTAACTTTCAGGAACAAGATGGGGGAGGATTCACTTTTGCTTTAAACTGTGTTCATGGCTTGTACATTCTTTCAACCAAAAGAAGTTTCAAATTGTTTTAATATAAAATGTATGTTATTTCTCTCAATTTTTATCTGGTAATAAAATAAATCAGCAAGTTGTTGAGGCCTCCAGACTTACAGAGCTGAGAGCACTGCCAGCTATGGAATGTCGCCTTTTCAATACTCAGAACAAGAGACAAGCCTTGAACAGACAGCAGCATTTGCCAAAGCACCAGTTTGTCTTCACCCGGAACAATGTCTCCTTTGTGTGGGCAGCACTAGACATCACTGGGTCCCCCTTCTGTGGACCTTGCTATACAGGATGCTAAGTGTCAGGAAGAAAGACCGTGTAGCCCTGCAACAACTTCTTTGTGTTAATGGACGCTGCTCATTTTGTGACTATAGTGTGCCAATATGTGGGAGATGCATGTTACTCTGAGGTTGAGAGACAGAGCATAGGAGACTTATGGCTGCCTATTATACTGTGTGAAGGCCTCTTAAAACTATAGGTAATTTCAGGGAATCATGTAGAAATAATGCATATTAGATTTCATTTATATCATTTATCATATCATGTATACAATGTATGCATGTTACAATACAATGCCATCTCAGTTTGCAGTAAGCAGCTGCTGGAATCATTCAAAACAATGTTTTTTTAATGGTTAAACATGGCCATAAACAAATCATGTTATAACATCTGCAACCCTTTGTATCCATTAAATTCTACCTGAAATTGAAAATTAAACCTTGAACTGCATACAGGGCATATACCCCCACCTGCTTGTGTACTTTAGTTTGGTTTCTCAATCAGGCATTGCTGAACTATTCCAATCCATCCTCTCTCCCTATAATCTCACGATCCTGGAACACACCAGCTGGTGATGCTAGAACATCCTTCTTGGTACCTCTTACAAACAAAAAATTCTGATGTAAGAAAGAAACATCAGAAGTTTTCTCACAGCCACCATTGAGATTTAAACACGTGAAAACGTGTTTTCTCACAGCCACCAATGAGCTTTAAAAAGGCAATACAATCCTAAATGACAATGTCATAAAAAATTCCAAATGATACTGGGGTGGAGTCTAAGGCGTGCTGCTCCCCTTGACAGATCGAGGCTGAACTGTAGTGTAACAAGTAACAAATAAAGAAAACAAAAGAGCGCACAACCACCTAGTGTATTAAAGTGGAGGAAACAATGTATCAATAAATAAACAACAAAGTTGCACTTACAAGTGAAAATAGGCAAGGCAACACTGGGGGAGTTCTTAACTTGACTTCCGGCAGGGTATTTCAGTGTGCTAGGAGGACGTCATAGATGAATGATCTAAAAATTGAATAAAGGGAAGCACAGACCAGCGAGCTGATCATGTGTACCAAAAACCTTTATTTATTATTAAAAAAATATAAAATTGCACTCACAGTCAAAATTGTAGCAAGGGCTTGTCGGGATCACAAATTCCTATGCGGCACAAATAGGATCGCTTCTGTGGCTGAGGGGAGATGGACCATCAGAGCAGCTCTCCCTGTGTATGTACCAGTTGAAATGATGCTGCTGAGGAAACTGGAGAACAAAAAACGGGCTTGCGGCTGTGGTAATCCTAGTGGTGTGTGAAGAGAAGGGCTCCAAAGTACTGATGGTCACCAAAGTCAAGTTAAGAACTCTCCCAGTGTTACATTGCCTGTTTTCACTTGCAAGTGCAACATTGTTGTTTATTTATATATACATTGTTTACTCCACAGTAATGCACTAAGTGGTTGTGTGCTCTTTTGCGTTCTTTTTTGTTGTTACTTACAGTATAACAAGCCACAGTGGTTCTGGTAAGGCTACTCTCCACACAACAGCACACCATCTTAAAAAAAGGAACCCAGCGTTGAGGATGCACATGTAAAAATTCCAATGAGAGCGCTAATTTAAAATCCAAGAGTCCACATGCTTTTAATATTAGTTTATACCAGGGCAACATCTTTTATCTACACTTTATTTTTAGCAACAACGCTGCTTTGACTGAGAATACATCAGCTGATAACGTTTACTTAAAGACTAATTTTACTTCAGAGCGTTAAGCCATATGTGGGTGAATCAGGCTGGCTGCAACAGGAAGTGATGGCCAACTGTGAACCATATGGCCCCCATCCTATATTGTACATAAAACACTCTATAGTCCTAGTACAACTGTTTCTTCAATCACTTGTTTTTCATAACTGAGTATATACATGCTGCCCTTTAACATCAAAACAAGGGTCACTGCACTGACCACTGATCACACTTAAGGTATAAAACATCATCACGCCTCGATACCTGTTACAGTATGCCAAGATAAAACTTAAACTGATGACAAGTGCAATTGTTAGATCATCTATAATTCAACTGAACAGGAGGGTACCCCTTCATAACTAGCTATTTGAAGTGGTTATTTTTAAAAGTGGAGATAAAAACTGTAATAATTATTTCACTCATTCCTTTGCAGGTTAGTATTTACTGTATCTGTACTTCAGAGAAATGTAAAGATTACCCGTCATGATTGGGCTTATACATTAATGTAAATTTTTATTCTTCAATTGTTATATGGGTGATGAAGGCTTACCTATGAAATATGTATGTGTACCTCTTTATTTAGCATTACTTGGCATGAGGTTGACTCGAGAAACTCAGAAGTGAAAGGCCTCCTGAAATCTGACTGTTGCTTCCCTGAGCTGTGCTTGAATGTGTGCTGATAAAACATGCAGCTATCCAGCTCCCAAGTATCCAAATATTACTAAATGTACCCTTGTAGTTGGACCCCGCTCCCCGGAAGTTGGTGCTCTCCTCTTCTCCCCCTCCACTTTGGCTGCGAACTGTCCCTTGTGTGTCCTCACATACAATGCAGGGCTATAGAGCCTGCATTGTACTTGATGATGTCAGGGGTCTTTAGACCACCGAAGTGAAGGGGGAAGAGGCTGCGGGGACCGGTATAGCGGTATCCTGGAGTTGGGCTTTAAATAAAGAGCTTTGTTACATGATACTATTATACATACTTAGGAGCTGTTTTTTCTCCAGCCCTGTGAACTGAATAAGAAAAACACTTGAGCCCCCTATTCACACTAAATGGCTATTGTATTTTGACAGGGTGCTGCTGTCAGAAAACCAGATTTTTTTTTTTTGACCAATTCCTTCAATAAGAGTATATTTAAAAATGTCAAACCAGGGGGGCGATGGGGCCCACACACTGCTCAAATTTCAAACAGTGTATGGCTAGCTTAATGCTCAAGACTTAGAATAATCCTCCGAGTTATTTCAGCTAAATAAAGTAGTAAATATGTATCCTTAACTGTTAAGCCTGCACATTTAGAATAATTGAAGACTGAATATTCGATTCTTGCATGAGCCAAACTTTAACTGATTGCAGGTTTACAATTTCAGGTGCCAATAAGGGATTAAAATCTCAGCACAGCATTCAATCTCTCACTTACTAATTATGAAATGGACAAGAAGCAACTCATGGGTCACCAACTGTGACCTATCTTGCAGCAAACACAATAGAAACCTCTTTTTCCTGCTTTACATTATTAGAATAGGACGCTTTTCATTAGTTTAAAAAATGTTTCAGAGCAAAGATCAGAAACTATGACCATTAGCATTTTACCTTTATGAGTTAACTGCGCTCTGCTGTGATATTTGGCCATTGTGGGTTATAAGCGATGTATCATATTACTGCCACAGCAAGCACAAATCATATCCAAGGTTAAGACGCTGTATTGCAAAGGTCTTTTACTAGCTATTTGAATGTGGTTAAATTTTTCTTTAATTGGTTCATACACAGATGTAAACTGGACTTCACAAGTTATTATAACTGAGGCACTTAATGATGATGTCTAATTTGAATAAATATGCAAAAGGTTCTACAAGCCTTAACTGGTAAAGAAAATATTTATACCATCATAAACATGTTCAGTACTAAAAAATCACAGCATATGATAATAAAGCATAAAAAATAGGTAAAGGCAGTCATACACTTATAGTGGGGTTCAAGAAGAACAAACTCCCGATCCCCCATCCTCACTAACAAGGTGAATAGGGGAATCCTTGTACTTTGTCAGTGACGGGTCTGCCACTGTAAGAATGCCTTAACAGTGACTGCAGTTAGTTGGCTGCAGTGACTGTTTGGCCAACAATGTTCCACTTGGGTCCTTCAATTTTTAGATGAAAGGATGTCAGTGAAAAGCAGTCGACAGGGCCATCCACAGAAGGAATTTTGTCCGGTTCATCAAAAAAAGGCGGATATTGGCTCTGTGTATGGCCAGCTTAGTTCATGTATAGTAAGTTGTGTATACCAGATGCCAATCAGAATGAGAGACATAAGATTATTAATGTTATAGGCCTTCATTTTAAACAATGCTCACTTACCTTGCAGCCCTCACATGCACTGACTCCATAATGATATCCAGATGACTTGTCCTGACACACAAAACAGGGTTTGTAAACTCGAGGAGGTGGGGGAGGGGATGGAGGACTGGGCACCAGCTCTTCTGAACTAGTACTTTGTGTTTCAATAGCTGTAAACATAAAGAAAAATAGAGAAAACTTTTGAATAAATAGTTATAGACCAACCATAAAGTTATCACAACCAGCAACCAACTGACATTAGGACATTAATTCATGCTACTGCTTTAAATGTGCATTTGTCACTATTATATTATTGTATTGGCACTGCTACAACCGTGTACTCAATAAAGAGAACCTGAAGTTCATTCAGACATGATGTGACTATGTCATTGGAACTTTTGATTTTTTGCAAAGTGCTACTGGAACCCTAAATCATGACAGTACTCTGGCATGCAAATATCAACCTTTTGCCCTCTACTATAGGTAAGCATGACTGCATATCACAGTGGTAGGCTACTAGCAAGGCACAGAAGAAAGGTGGGTGTAGATATAGAGTCTAGACAAGGAATACTGGTTGCTATGTCCAAATCAGAGCACACCTAAGACTTTAAAGAGATACACATAGGAGGTGCCTGCACTCATCTGTGGCAACCTACCAAATTTAGCTTTTCTGGCTGAATGCAAAGCTATTCTGACTAGCAAACTTCTGACACCTCCAGGTAGTGTCAGAGCTTGTCACTACCTCCTGCCCTCTTACATTCCTATTGGCTCATTAAAGTGATGGATAACATGCCCTGACCAATATAATTGTGTAGGGTACAAGAAAGGACGGGCAAAGCTTTGACACTATCAGGGAGTGCCTGACAGAATGTCCCGGTATTTGGTTGTAACAGCAAGGTTTTGCAGGTTGCTGTATATGCTCCATGGCACATAATTTTCTTGAACTGAGAGTTTCCTGACCCTGCTGGTAAAGGTTGCCGCAACAAACACTTATTCTGTCCAAAAACAACTCAACAGATCAAGGCAACCTACCACCAACAGCTCATATTTTTGTATACAAGGGATGTTTTTAGGTTTCCATATCTGTTCTGTTGTTTTAGCATTAAAAGCTGGTTGACCTTGTTGAGTTGCAGGTGACATTTCCAGTCAAACTGATCAGTTAACCAATAAAGCTCTCAAGAAATACTGCCACCATACGAAAACCAGAATGCTCACCCAGTTTACCTTAACCCAAGTACTGACTATTAAAAATTAAAAGCAGATAGATTTAAGAATCATCTCAATATGCTTGTGATGGGACTGCAGCCCCTTGTCATACCATGTCATTCTTCTAGGCTCCATTCATACCAGATCTGTTGCGATCTGTTTTTCAATGGTTTCTAACGCAAGGGCACCGAAAATGAATGGGTGTAAATGGGACCAGTTCACACCACTGCAATCTGTTCCATTTCGTTGCAGTGCAATGGAAAAAAAATAGAGCATGCTCTACTTTTTTTTTCCAGTGCAACATAACAGAACATAAACGGATGTAATCACAACGGAATAGAAGCTAAAGAAAAAATATATATAGCTGTTTGTCCACTCAGGACAGGGTAATTAAAATAAAGAAAACATTTACATTTTTGTTTTTAAAAGAACGGAAGTCAACGAAGGTTGAAACTCCAGCGATTTCCCTCCGATTTTGGTGTGAATGGGCCCTTAAAGCTCCAATGTGTATAATGGACTCAGGCAGAGGGTGTTGGCCAAATCAGGGCCATTGTGAATAGGAGGACGAAAAAAAAACTAGTGATTTAGTCAGATTACCAGTCATGTGTAAAGAGATATGGCCAGGATGGTAATTTGGACCATTTAGCAGATGATAAACCTGTCATAAACCAGGGTAATTCAAACTGCGGTAGGCAATATTTCATATTTGGCCTATGGAGAAGGAGGCATGCAACAGATACCTCCAGCATTAAATTATCAGGGGGGAACAAAAGCAACTGGACAAGGTTTTCAAACATGTTCAGTCACTTCTTGTGCCCGCAAGCCTCATTCCAAGGTGTTTGTTCATAGATAGAATGTTTTTCGACCTTTAGGTATCATTCACACAGGGAGTATTGTACCATACAGCGTAAAAGGCCATTTTCTTATGTGCTCAGAGTTGTGGGAACAAGCGTGCGGGCAGCTCAGATATGTATATGAAGATGCCCTCACACACTGCTACCTGCAGCTCTGAGTTTTGACAGATGATGTACAGATCTGGAGCCATCATGTCTGTGTCCAAGGCCATACAATGTGTGCAGCTGTCAAACTCGGAGTTAGGAGAAGCAGCATGGGTGTGCACAGCTCCTGCGTCTCCATAGACTTACATGAGCTGCCTGCACGTTTCTGCCAGCAGCTCGCGGCGCATAAAAAAATGGCTTTTCACACTGTGCAGGGCAAATCAAAGAGGGCTTGTTAACACCGGCCTGCCACATGGAAGGCATGGCTGCATCACACTGTTTATGTTCTTTTAGGTTTGTTAGATCTAAATTAAAATGTCACACGTGAGATTACTTTCAGTTCTATGGGCCACAGTGCGGTGCGATTAGGTTGTATTGCATCGCACCACACAGCACTGAAAAAAGTACTGCATGCAGCCAGAGCCAAAGCTAGAGGCGTGCTGGGGGGGCATGTCCCCCGAGTGCCGTTTTAGGAGGGGTGCCACTGGCTGTGTGGATAGAGAATTTCTGCCATAGAGGGGCAGCAACTCTGAGCCTTTGCCCCGGGTGACAGAATGTCTAGCTACCCCACTGCATGCATGATGGTGGTGTAAATGGATTGTAAACAAGACAATTTGCTTTGTCTTTGGGTGGGGACGGCCCTGGGAAAGGCAGCCAGGGCCAGATTTCCCACAATGCCAGCCAAGGCCCGGGCCTCGGGGCAGCAGGGGTGTGGAATTCCTATCTCCCGATGCCTGGGACATGCAGTTGCGGGCACCAGGCGGGTGGTTGTTTTCTACATTTAGCCCTGCTTTGGGTAAGCAGAGCTAAATGTACAGCGGGTAGGCTGCCACATGTTTCGTGCAAGCGGCGA